CACACACACACACACACACACACACACACACACACACACACACACACGCAAAACATTCTGCAAACTTGCAAATGTGAAAATATTTATAAAATGACAGGTGGTTTAAAATAGTAAACCAAAAGCCACGCATAAAAGACTAAACTGAATTAACTCTATTTGTACTGGTTGTTTCTATGGAGGTCTGTTTTGCTCTATCAGCCCTCATTTGCCCAGGACTGGATTGAGAACTCCCCAATAAACACTGGAAACAGACACTGATTCATGAATGATTCATGCTGGAGGTGGGCGCTGTAGTGGCTGTTAGCTGCACAGTGGGAAGGGTGCTGGAAGCGTGACTGGACGACCAGCGAATGGCACTAAAACAGGGGGGACAGGAGCGAGCCAATGACGGCGGAGAAGCCCGATGTGCAGAGACATGAAGAGCTGGGAGTGGCGGAGGAGGAGGAGGAGAGCGGGTGCATGAGCGACGACGGAAAGTGCGTGAGTGCGCCAGGGAGGAGAGCAGGTCGATGCGTGGATGTAGGAGAGGAAGAGTGGAAGACCGTGAGATAGGTGGAGAAGCTGAAGCAGGGGAGCCAGTCTGTTAGCCTGCGTTTTTAAAAGACGAAGCCAGACACGCAGGTGAGTCTGGATCTTTTTCACTAAAGCATAATCTGACTGATGGATATGTGTTGGACAAAATTTGGTATTAACAATCCAGAGCTCGAATCAAAAACACAAGCTGCTCTTGGACTCAGTGCGAGGCTTCACGTATTTGTTTTTCCCAGCATAAATATTTAAATACAGCAGATGCAGAATGCTTATTTCCTCTTATTAAAGCTATCAAAAGCTATCAGTTCTAGCAAAAATGTCCAAAAACAAACACTTCAATGTTTTAAAACCTTTAGTTGTCAGTTGTGTTATTCAGGCCAAGACTACACACATAAAAACAAACACACTCAGTCACACAGCATATTAAATAAACATGGACCTGTCTGTCTGCACTCTGCTTGAATAACAAGCATCAAAATATCTGTGTCTGTGTGTGCGTTCATGAGCATCCCGCCTCATCACGACAAATTTATGAGGGGCTAAAAGGAATTGGCAAAGGAAGGTAGAGGTGTAGATCTAATGTGTCAGCACCTAAAGACCATGACCTGGGTGGGGCTCACTTAGGGAGGAGGTAACGGATGTCGCAGATGACATTTAACTGTTCTGACAGAAAACGAACAGCGCAGCAGAAATCACTGATGGTGAAATGTGAAGGGGAGAGGAGGAAGGCAACACAAGTTAAAGGTTGCTGTTGTGGCAAAGAGAGACACTAGGGTTGCTTTGGTTGACATGAGATGATGCTAAATACAAACTAGATGGCTGTAAATTACATTAACTGAAAGGAAGTACAACAGTGTACTTATAAATGTTCTGTACAAACAGTCATAAAAGCGTGTTTTTAAGATAAAAAAAATAAAGACAGGTTCATTGTTAAGATCAGCTCCTTTTCTTCACTTTTCCTGCATTGAGGTAATATGGGTCAGCTCTCTGACTCTGCATGTGCTATAAACAAGCATGTGCACAAGTGTGGGCAGAATGAATGCACACTGTTCACAGTGGGTATAAAGTGGTAGGCGTAATTTTAAAGGACAGCTGAAGGGAGACAAATGGTCTGACAGTGTGTCTTCTAAATGATACTTTTTAATTACATTAATGCATCATGGTTCATTCCACTAATTGTTTACCTAAGGCGTAATAGCCAAACTGCAGTGAAACAGTGCATATTTCATTGTGCAGGTCTATTTTATGCTTTTTTTGTCAGCTGATGATCTCAGTATGGCATTCTACTACAGAATAAACTTTTTCCTGTTTTTTCTCTTGACTGATGGTGAACTACGATAACATAAAAAAACTTAATTTGCTCTGCAGAACCTAAACTCCTTCACAACTTTACAAATTAACATATCTTTCCGCTTGCTTTCTTTTGTCATCTCCAACCAGACACCATGGCCAACATCACAACCACTATACTCCCAAGCCTGCCGTCACACCTCGAGGCCGTCCCGTTGTCCCACGTCTCCTTGCAGGTCCAGGAAGTGTACCCCTTTCACGACGGCTGGAATGTAGCCTGCTTCGTCATTCTGTTACTGTTCATCCTCACTGTCCTGTCCCTGACTGCCTTGGCCGTTCTCTACGAGCTACTCAACTGCGGGTGCTGTGCTAAAGGGAAGACACACCACCAGCTGCAGGAGGAAGGGCCAGGAAGCTGCAGCAAACTTATGACTAACATTTGCAAGGAGCCAGCGTCCCACACAGAGGTGGTATAAAGGCAGCAAGGACGAGGGAAACATTAAGAAGTAGAGTATTATTTATTGACAAATTTATTTATGCCACAGTAATGACTTTGTTTCCCTAAAAACAAAAACAGACAATCCAACTGCGCCATATCTCGTCTAAGGATGGGTGTATAAAAATTTATTTATATCATCATAAAAAAACAAACAAACAAATAAAAAGCACCTTCATATACTAAGTAGAAGAATGGCCTGAAAATAAACGCCTGATTCAATGTTTAGCATAGCAGCCTGTGATAAAATTACATTTAGTGTGATGTTACCTGTGCTTTTTATTATGAAATTGCATGTTCAAAATCTGACAGTGAAAATTATTGTTGCTTTTCTGTTACTTGCTAAACTGTTCGCCAGTAGTGTTAATGTTTACCACAAGTTCAGTAGCTACACAGTGATGTATTTTGCGTCAGGCCTTGTGCAATATAAAATTTCTAATGTTTTCCTATTTGACTAACTTTCACTGAAAAAGGTTTGATTTTTGAAGTAACTAAAAGTTGGCAAGTCTGCTATTACAAAACTGAATAAAGTAATAATGTAATGTAACAATTTTTGTGTTTGCTTATGTCCAGATGAGCAAAACAATCATCTGCTGATGGTTGATTGTAACAAATATCATACAGTTGTCTAAAATCACTATGGTGGTAGTCGTTGCAAGTTCCTGTTAACGCCACAGAAAGACCAGTGTTTTAAAGCCAACAAGTGCAGCTTGGCTCATTGTTACTTTATTGTTTTTTTTTTACCATTATGTTGCAAACTGACATTTAGCAATTAGGTCTGTTCGCCAAAGCAACGCTGACACAGCACAATTCATTCTATTCATATAACCAAGATGGAGAATCACTAAAATGTCTGTTATCAACTAACTGGTTCCACCGCTGAGCGTCTACATGCAGCACATGGGTTAAAAGGTGTTGATAAGCAATCTATTGCAACCTTCATAGCTCAAAAGCTGCCAAGACGGCTGCAGGACATTAGAGAGTGGGCACACACAAAGACGCTCAGCACTTCTGATTCTGTTTGACAACAAATTAGTGTGTGTGATCAACCACCGGCCTGCACACGCTGACAGCACCACTGATTGTTATGGCCGACTGCCTAAAGTGGAAGGGCAACCATGTTTCTGATCACGTCTATGTTGTTTGTCATGTTAGTAAAACATCTTAAAAAAACCATTGAAGCTCTCAAAAAGTAAATATTTGGTAAACAAATCACAAACTCAAAAAAAAAAAAAATGCTATAACGCAAGTCAAATTTACAGATACTGAGCTTGATGTGGTTGTGGCAGAGTCATCCTCAACACAACCTCATGTTGTGCTCATTCTTACTTTTTATTGTCACTAAATGTCCCTATTATATTTCCATTAACAATTAAAACTCCTGCAATGAAAAACACCAGAACAAGTGCACGCATCATGTATTATTTCTTTAAACTACAACTTAACAATCAACCATCTTTCTCACAGGTGCAAATGCTTAAATACTTCCTAGACCACTTAACTGGTTAAAGGAATTTTGCAAAGGCCACAACAAATAAATATCAAACATGATGATATTTGAAGACAGTTGTTATGTTTTCTGCATTCAGTACAAGTGATAGTTAAACGTTGAACGGGGTAGTCAAGATACACAAATCTAAAGTGCCAGACATCTGGATACACTACTGCCTGTCAGTCACTACAGCCATTACATCATAAGGCCAAGCACAGCCTAAGCTTGAAACAAACCAAGGATACACAAGGGTTAGAAAGCACATAAATGTGTACTTAAAAAAAAAACAATCAAGGACAAGGTTAGCAGTGCTGTAGTTTTGTGCAAAGAAAGCACTTGTACGTTATCTTATTTAATCAACCTCTAACTACAGGTACAAATGTGTCTGCAGAGACAGTGATGAGCTACGTTAAGTAAAATTCAACCTACCGGTGCTGTGTTTGGAGCCAGAGGAGCTCTCCTTATCTGGTTTGGGTTTCTTCTTCTTGTGTGATCCAGAGTCTGATGCAGCCGGTCTCTTCTCTACAGCTGGAGTGGACAGCGCTCTCTTTTTGAACAGCTCCCTCTCTCTGAGCAAAGCCGGATCCATCCTGGCTGACAAGAACCAAAATAATATGTTAGAGAGAAACACAATCTGATTAAATAAAAACCTGTTAAAAATATTTTTAGATAGATAGCTAGATAGATAGATGGAGGTTGTTTCTGCTTGTGAAAATGATACAAATAAATCAATAATTTAATAGCCATGTTTGTTATTTTTGTTGCTGGGTTCTATATTAGTAATCCCGTAATGGGGACATAATAAATCACATTTATAAACAGGTTATGTAAACAGGAGCAATCACCACCATGATACTATTTCTAAACTAAACAAGACCGTGCCTTCAAGAATAAAAAAGAACCAGAATCCAAAGTATACAATAGTTAGTTAGCTAACAGTAAGGCTACAGGTAGCTAGCGTTGGTCGGTAAAGTCCATATATATAGCTAACTAAAGTGCTGGCTTAGCATTAGCACGTCCGCTTGTAATGTTTTGCTCAACGTTACCTGCACTTTTTGTTCCTGTCTTCACACAAAGAAAAAGGGGACTGGTTAGTCCGAGAGGACTAACGGACCACGTAGGATCCAATACAGAAATATTTAAAACGAAGCGCAGTCTTTCTGTTCTGTTTGGGATTACACGAAGCACCGCTAGCGAACTAACTTCATACAAATGTTTTCTCTCATTTTCCACTTCCTTTTCTCGTGTTCGATCATTCGCTCATCGACAGATAATCCTGAGACAACGTCATGGTCATTACGTACAACTCGGCGCTGGGGGGAGGGGGGTGTGTGGGGGTTACTTATTTGTTTATTTATTTTTGTTTCAATTTGAAAGTCACACTAGGACACATGATTAAT